CAGGGCGGGGGAGGATTGACTTAAACAGAGCTAAAAAGATTATTGTACCAGGAAGTTGTGTCTGAATGCTGTTGATTCTTTGTTGAGCTTCCTAGTGGCCTAGGCAAAAGGGAAACATGAATTGATGAAGACAGCATCTTAAAAAAGGAAGCAGGCAAATTTGATCAACTCTTTTGGTTATAAAAACCTGGAGGCTTTGATACTGCAGATGTTTGTGTGGCTAGAGCGTAGGGGAATGTTGTGGAAAGTGTGGTTAGTTCGTGCTCATGGCTGATCCTAAAACCTTTATAGAATAAATATAAAGTAAATACCGTTAAGTGCCCATATGTTTCTTATTTTTTAAATCCTCACCAAGTCCTGGGGAGAAAGATGGTCTTACCTGGGTTTCCTGATGAGGCAACAGGCTCAGAGAGGGTGAGGAGCTTGCCCAAGGTCATGGGGTAGAGTGGCAGAGCTCGGGTTGGCACTCAAATCTGAGAATTCAAAGCCTGACTCTAGCTATGCTTTTGGTTTTTATTGTTTTGTTTTTGGTGGGAGGTTGGGGGTTCCTAGGTGCTTTAAAGGTGAAGGAAAGGGGCTTCAGGAAGGGAGACTCATCAGGAAACATGCCAGTAGGGAAGGCTTCCTGACAGAAGTGGGCTCTGAAAGGTTTAGTTCCATGGAAGGGGGGCAGGGTCGCAAACAGACCATCGCTTCTGCAAGGGCACCCTTGAGGCCCACGATGTAGGAGCCATGTGAATGCCCTGTGGCAATAGGGCAGTTGTGTTGTTGGCACCTTCTATCCTTCCTCTTGTCCTACCTCCTGAGTTGGGGGTGGCCACAATCCCCAGTTTGCAGGTGAATAGACAGATCAGAAGCCTCACCTGCCATTAGACCACAATCATCCAGCCGGTGGTGCTGAGAATATTGGCGGGAGGGAAGCACAGGCCTGGAAGCAGAGAGCCGAAGGTTCAGATCCTGGCTCTGCTCCTTCCTGGCTGTGTGATCTTGGGTAAGTTCCCTAATTTCCCTGAGCCTCAGTTTCCTTGTCTGTAAAGTGGTGATGGCGGGATTGTGAGGACTATGGAAGATGATGCCAGTAAAGGGCTTAGTGTGGAGTATGTTGGAATGGAGGGCACTTAGGATTCCCCGTGTCCTAGAATCCTAGGGCTCATCTGCTCCCAGAGGCCCCCTGGTGCATGCTCAACATGAGCTTGAGTGCTTCCAGGGACAGGGAGCTCTGTCTCTCTCAAGGTGGCCTGCTCCATCCTGGTGCACTTGGGAGTGTTAGAAAGTTCTTCTTCATGATGCCCCTGACATGGGCTTCAGCTCCAGCAGGGAGCCCAGCCCCCCTGGGCTGGGCAGGGCCTGAAGGTTGACTCTGATCTCCAGGCAGAGGCTGCCCGGATGAGGTTGTTGGGGTCTGAGAGGTGTGAGCAGAGGTTGGTCCTATTGGGATTGCATTGTTGTGGTCTCCCAGGGCTTGACTTAGCTCTGAGATTTGTGGGTTCGGCCTCTTTGGTGCAGCATTCCAGGCCCTGCCTGCTCACTGGCTGGGTTCCCCCAACACAGAGCAAACCAGTGCTTTGTATTGTGAGCTCCACCCACACTCCCCACTTGTGGCAGAGGGAGGGTGTTGAGTGTTTGGAATTACATTTATTTATTTATTTATTTACTTATTAAAACAAATCTTACATGGCCATACATTTCAATTTTTTTTTTCCAAAGCAGTGAGTTGTGTACAGGAGGATTAAATGCTTTATAGACAAGAAAAAAAACCTGCTAGAACCAACTTATTCATCATGACCACCTTCTTCATCTTCCTCCTCTTCCTCAGCCTCTTCGTCTTCCTCCTCTTCCTCCTGTTCCTTCTTTTTCTTGTTCTTTTCAGCCTTGACAACTCCCTTTTTGGCCGCATCAGGCTTTCCTGTAGCTCCGTATGCAGTAATATCCTTTCCGTAGCTTTCCTTCAGCGCAGCAGCCTT